CCATAGACTCCACCTTGAAGCCGTATTTGTACACTGAATCCTTTTTCAGACAGTATAATTATTATTGTCTAAGAATTCATCCGATTAATCAGTTAACGGGCTAGTTAATTGCTACTCATAGCATGGCCGAATCGAATAACACCCATTCGCCGGGTTAACTTGTTAGGCCGATTAATTGGCCGGTTAGACCGATTAATCAGTTGTTAGGTTGATTAATACCTGCTGGCCCATTAACAGGTGGGCAAATATAGCCCAAATTGCTGGCTCGTAACCCCTTCCAGCCCCATCCCGCTCCTTAATAGCTAGCTTAGTAATTTCACCTCCTCTGTATGCTTTTTATATGTGTACGACATCATGTTTTGGTATATTACATAGCTGGTAGCATGAGAGTATGCTATAATACATACAAAAACTAGATATATTTGGCCACTTCCTATTCAATCTACCGATTAATGGTCGACTGATTAATCCAGTTAATAGGACGATTCGCCGATTAATCGCTACTCTTGCACCGACTGAGCATCTACTAGTTAACGATTTCTTGAATTATGATAATTACAACCGTATTTGGAACCCTTTACAAAGATTTTGGACTTCTAGTACACAGTTCCAGAGTTTGAGGACCGATGTAGATGTGTACACACAAGTTCTTGACACCGTCAAGGTACACAGTTTTAGAATTCCAAACACCATTTTAGAGTTATTTGTCATTGCCAAAGTAGAACAGTTAAATTCTAATATGTTCTAAGAATAATTAGGCCTATCCAACTCTACGAAAATTAGATAATATTACTCAAAAATCATAGAGCCACAATGCAGTACAAAGTGATGTGACAAAACTGAGGCAATGGAATCGGTGCCACAGGTTGCACTGCCAAGGAGTTTGGGAGTCAATGATAAACACATGCAATCGATGTCCCAACGTGTCCCTGCCGTTGGGAGATCTCAAGCAGTCGGTCTCCATGCCAGTTCACATCTTGGGCATGGAGCACATATCCCGTGATACGGGAGCTTCAATGCTCCCATGCTCCAGGAGCTCCCAGCCAACGGATGATGGATCAAAGCGCTACAGCGAAGAGCTTGTGCAAAATTGTGAAAATATCCTAATGAGTCTCTTAATTATGCATAGCTCCCATGTCTCTGAAGATGGCCGTTAGATCCATCATCCAATGGCTAGGGAGATCCTGGAGCATGGAGGCTCCCATGTGCTTGAGCTTTTTTTAGAAATGGAGGAAGACCCCGAGCATCCACTTTATTAATTATTCACAAAAGACCTTACAAGAAAATACAACAGTAAGTCTAAAGCCACAATGTAGGCAATATCTGTCGCTACTCCTATCCAGTTGATGAAGGGATGCTGATAGTCCAGGCCTAATAGCACAAACCTCGCAGTCAAGCCTAACACCTAAGACCTGAGGTCCCAACCTAGCCACTTATCGGGTCTTGGGCACACACTAGTCCGGCCTGCTCTCAGAGGTCGCTGCCGCCAACTGCCACCGCTCCATCTTCAGAGCTGTACTGACGCATCAACCTTGCTCGGTCTAGCTGTCGTCGATGCCACCACGGCGCCCAACGGCACCACCTCCCTGCGCGCAAACAGCTGAGCACGTCGCGGTCGGCACTGATACACCTTAGCACCATGCTGCCAAGTACCACCAGCCGACACAGCTTGAAGTCTTTGGAAGATCTATCGTGCGTAGCACCTGCCGACCAGGCATGACAAAGCGTAGCACCTGTCGGTCAGGCATGAATGGACATCTCCTTTGAAGCTCCGTGCAAGACGAAGCCGCTCCTTCTGACTTCTAGCGCTGCTCCACAAACGATGCTCCCAAGAGAGAAACGACACCGCCGTGTCGCCATCGTTCGATCCGAAACACCAGATCATAGGGTTCCCCCGGAGCAGCACGAGTGGGTCGACAATAGTTACACGACGATGCCTTCATCAAGGTAACGGCGTATAACGCCGCCATCATCTGCCGTCGGCTCAGTTTTCACCGACAACCATGTCTTCCCAACTCGCAGCCGAAACTAGATGATGGATCTTGAGATCCGATCACCAAGCCTCTGGCCGGCCACCTCCGACGAAGAAGATGACCACCACCACTGGCCAACGAGACGACGCGAGACAAAGTAGGGCACTGCCAGCGTGCGTCGTGGCCAGCACCACCGGTGCTAGGCCCGTCCGGGACCATGCCCCATGGCCGAGGGCAGCAGCAAGCGCTCCCACGACGGGGAAGCAGACCCAAAGCCTAGATCCGGCCCACCTACATGCCGCCAAGTGGCCACCACCGAGCGCCGTTCAGGGGCAGCCCCGCCGCCGTGAGGGACGCCGCCCCACGGGCAGCAGGCGCCAGCTACCATCGGACCACCGCCGCGCACCACCGGCCGCTGCGAGATCTGCGCGGGGCAATGGCGAAACGATGATGACGCCCCGCCGCCACCTTCCCTGGGGTACACGCGGGCTTCACCAATGTCCCCTCCGACGGCGGCGAAGCGGGGGAGGAGTGAGAAGGGGAGGCCGGCGGCGGGGTTAGGGTTTCCCCCGTGCACCAGAGGGATGTGCCTAAGCGAATGACCAATTCCATGAGCCTGTGCTTGAAAGCCGTATTCGTACAACTGGATACATAGGACCGTATTCGGACCCCTTTACAAATGGCTTCTGCCAGAACCAGACCCCTCGCAGTCAAAGTGTGCCACCGTCGTAGTCCGGCGTCATGAGGAGCCCCTTGGCGAGCACCCCTGACAGCAGCCTGTCCCGCGCAAATCTCACCACGGCGTGCTCGCTCTGCTGCACACGCCCCACCATGTAGGACGCCGCGATCACCTGCGCGCTCCTCCACCGCCGGATCCCGGCGTACCGGCGCAGAGCCGCCTCGATCGTCTCAGTGCCGTCGCCATCGCGGGCCATGGCGTCGCCGAGGCACCGCGCGAGGACGACGGCATCCTCCAGCGCGATGCACGCGCCCTGTGCCAGGTCCGGCGTCGTGGGGTGGAGCGCGTCGCCGGCGACGCACACGTTCCCCTTGCTGATGCTCCCGAAGAGGAGCGACAGCGGCGGGCGGTACCTCAGGGGCGCCACGAGGACGTCGTTCATCTCGCTCCTCTCGACCGCTTCCAGCACCTCGTCAGGTGCCTTGATGCTCCGCAGCTTGGCCAGGACGAACTGCTTCATCTCCGCCGGGCTATGGTCAACGTCCTCCTTCCCGTCCGGACAGGAAGGTGACCACGTCAGGAACCAGTACACGTCCGTGTCGCCGCAGGGCACCAGGCCGGCACGGAAGCCGTTGCCGCTGAACTGCATGAACTTGGGCTGGAAGCCGTGGCCATTGGGGTACTTGACGTGCCCCCGCGTGGCTCTACGCCCCGAGTCCAGCGGCTTGGCGAGCCCCAGCCATTTGGCCACCACTGAGTTGATCCCGTCGCAACCGATCAGCACCTTTGCTCGGAGCATCGAACCGTCGGCGAGATGGAGGATCTTGGCATCGCCACCGCCTTCTTTGTCGTCGTCGATGGAGACGATCCTGGAGTTGTAGCGGATGGTGTCTGCCGGAAGCTCTTCCTCCAGCGCCTGGAGGAGCACGTTACGCTGCACGCACCGGGCTTCGTGGGGTCCCCTGCATCAAGGAGCAACACAGATAAATTCACCCAAGAACAGAGCAACTTCAGAGCAAGTTCGTGTCTGATATTGATGTTGGATGGATATCTCACAGTTTGCCTTGCACCCGGAGATCCAGCTCTCGCACCACTTCCCCGGTAGTCGGAGACATGACGCGCACCCTAGCGAGAGGAGAAAAATGAAGAGAAAAACATACCCACGTCAGAACGGCTAACTCGATACGTATGATCGTGATAAGCTTCAGAAAAAAGATGGAGATCAAGATCGAGCTTTACTGCACGTACCCCTGAACCTGCAGGTGGTGGCTCCTCATCTTGTCGCCGACGCCGAGGGCGTCAAGCGCGCGGAAGGCGTTGGTCCATGTCATGAACGCGAAGCCGGACGTCCGAAGCGCCGGCGACGACTCCAGCACCACGCTCCGCACGCCCTTCCTGCATCCAGTGAGATCCTCGTTTAGTTAAGCCTATGTGTCACACACACATGGAGCTGGCTGTGAGATCCTCGTTCACGAAGAATTCAGAGAGCATGTGAGTCGTCTCTGCCTCTATGGAGATGTGACTGGTGTGCCGGCGTACCTGTGGAGTCCCAGGGCGACGCCGACACCGGCGAGGCCGGCGCCGACAATGACCACGTCCTCGGCGGCGTCCTGCTGCGGTTGCATGTTTGCTTACACTGGCTTCGACGACTGATCTATACGGTTTGTCGTGTGTTCGTGTATGCTCGCGAGTGAATTTGAGTTGGTTTCCACTGCTCTAGTACCATTCAGCAAGTCAATGCGGTATGTATATATGCGTCTGCCGCCAAGGAGTTTGGCTCCAAGAAAACTGAAGCAGCGGAGAAGGAGGCGGCTCTGGCGTCACTGCTGATGATGCCGCGCGGCTGCATTGCTGGTTGGCCTTGTAGAACAATGGTCAACTTGGGCACTTGGCAACTTGCATCTGTCCTTTTTGAGTATCATACTAGTGGCTTTTTCTTTGGAGTAGTTCTTTATCCGAGGGTTTTGGGAGCAAGGTAGAATACAAAAACGGTTGATGGGCACATGCAAATATGTTGGCCATTGCTTCGTTTTCGGTCCTCGAGAGTGGGTGACACCTTGTTTTCGGTTCTCTTTTAAAAGCAACTCTATCAGAGCCCGCATCCCGCCCGGCATGTAAAACGCGTTTGCAGTTAGCGAAAAACGGCTTTTACAGGCCGGCAAGGACGGCCGCAGACGTAGACACCTCAAACGGTATACGGGTTGGCTTTACTGTGTCTGCTCTTACACCGCTGCTTTCCACATCTCATCGGCCTGCCAAATATCAAATCCAACATAATACAACAAACGGAAGCAAACTAAATAATTATTGAAATTCAACACACTACAACAATCATCCACATTACAAATAATTATTCAAATCTTAAATAATGCAATACAAAACTTGTGACGAATACGAATACAAATGAATACAAAAATGAGTCACTGTCCAACCCTTTGCCAATGGTGCTCAATGAGATCCTCCCGAAGTTGAAAGTGTGTGTTTGCATTTTCAATCTCCTTGTATGTCTGAAGAAAAGCTCTAATGCGGTTAGGGTCTCTAGCTGGTTTGACACGGCTACCCACATTGTCGTAGAAGAATTCCAAGTTCATTCATCTCTCATCTTTAAGAATCATATTGTGAAGGATAACACAACATGTCATGATATTTTTCAAGATTTTCTTAGCCCAAAAATGAGCAGGACCACAGACAATGGCAAACCTAGATTGCAAAACACCAAATGCTCTTTCAATGTCTTTTCGGGCTGCATCTTGCACCCTTGCAGATTCACACTGTTTTTTAGTTTTGGGTTCTTTGATGCTCTTGGCAAATATGCACCAAGGAGGGTATATACCATCTGCAAGATAGTACCCTTTTGTGTATTCATGCCCATTGGTAGCGTAGTTGCAAGCAGGAGCATCGCCACTAGCAAGCCTAGCAAACAAATGATACCGTTGCAACACATTGATATCATTGAAAGTGCCCGACATACCAAACAAGCAATGCCAAATTCATAAATCCTCAGATGCTACGGCCTCTAGCACAATTCTTGCATCACGAGACTTGCCACAGTACATTCCTTGCCATGCCCTCGGGCAATTTTTCCATGTCCAATGCATACAATCAATGCTACCTAGCATGCCAGGCTAACCTCTCCTCTCATTAGATGCCATCAATTTCTTTGTGTCATCCTCGTTGGGTGCCCGAAGATACTCAGAACCAAAAACACGGATGGTCACTTTTGCAAATCTACGCACTGACTCAATTGTAGTATCTTCACCAATATGAAGGTACTTATCGGCATAGTCAGCCGGAACGCCATATGCAATCACCTGCATAGCTGCATCGATTTTTTGATATGCACTAAATCCCTTTAAGCCCGCAGCATTTCTTCCTTGAGTAAAATACCGGCAGTTTGCCTCGCAAGCTTGAACAATTTTCACAAAGAGAGATCGGCGCATTCGGTACCTTCTCCGGAAGAGGTGCGGTGGAATGTAGGATTCTCCACGAAGTAGTCTTGCATCAACATCTCGTTCTCAAGATGACGATTCCGAGGAATGCAAAGACGCCCGACGGTCGATCCTCTCCTTCTCTTCCGGTTCTCGTCTTTGTGCTCCTTCACGGCAAGTGCCATGACTAATGTCTGCTGCCGAAAGTTTGCAAGCATGGTCTCAACATCCGAGTCGTCCGAATCCGTGAGCAAGAACTTCTGGCACGGGCTCAACTCCATCTACACGCATACCGGCGCGTCAATCAACTATACCGCTCGCTCGCAAAAATCACAAAATACGCACTAACCGGTGCCGGATGCGGCGGGTGATACCGGGCGGCGACGAGGGGCGGGCTCGAAGGTGGTCGATTCCCGGCGGCGGTAGCGACGAGGGCGATGCTCTTCTCGCCGAATCCGGGAGAGGGGGGGTCGGTACAGCGTGACAACGCGGGAGGGTGGGGGACGGCCCCACGGCGCAATTCTGCCCGCAGATTTGGCCGGAATTGCCGTCGGCAGACGGGCGGAAGCAAGGGCGGTCGACGGTGGAAGGGGGTGGGAAAAATGCGTGCGGGCTGAAATGTCCCTCCCGCTAAGTGATTCTGTGTGATGCAGGGCACCGCAACTGCGACGGGGAAACCCGTGTATTCGCGGGTTGGAGCCGAGATTTTGCCGCGCCCCTTAAATTTTTTGCGGGCCGGGGCGGTATGCGGGGTCTGACCGGTACGGCTTTTCCGCCCTTACCCGCATTTTGGCGGTTATTTTTCAGGTCGGGGGCGGATGCGGGGTCTGTTAGAGTTGCTCTAAGTACCAGTTATGTACCTTTATTTTATGGAAACCAGTTATGTACTTCGTATATTACGTTCAAGTACACACGCATCAAGCCCAAAAAGCGATTCAGAGCCTGGAAAAAGTCTAAAATAAATCATAAGTTTGTAGACAAAAGCTAAATCAAACCCTGAACTTTGAATCCCTAAAATCAGCACACCGAACTATAACGATCCCGGTCTATTTTACACCTTAAGCGTGTTTTCAAGGGTATTCTCGATGCGGCAGGTAAAGCTATGACTGGGCCGACCCATCAGGCGCGAAGAGTCTTTTTCTTTTAGTATCGCGCAACTTAACAACAACAACAAAAAAAAGATTAGGGTTTCTGCCTCCCGCCGTGGCCGCCGCAGGTCCGCCTCCTCTCCGGTGGCCCTAGGGCCATGGGGGCGCGGTGGATCTCGGCAAGGGCCGGCGGGAGGGCTCCGTTTTTAGTAGTTTCTTTCAGCTTTGCTAGGGTTTGTGTCCTCCTCAGAAAGACGAGACGACGGCGGCTCCCTGAAGATGGAATAAAGGTCTCCCCGCCTAGTCCCCGTTCCGGCGGCGCGTCTAGCACCGTTGGTGGGCGTGTGGAGGTGTGTCTCCAGTGGATCTATCTTTGGTGGATTTGCTCGGATCTCGTCGTTGTTCGTCTACGTTCGCGTGTCTTCGGATTGGATCTTTTTGATCTACGTTATTCTTCATCTGCGAAGGTTGCTGTTCTGGTGCGCTGGTCCTACGGGGCCTTAGCACGACGACTTCCCGACTGTCTACTACAACAAGTTGTGCCCGACTCCGGCGATGGAGGGGCGATGACGGCGGCGCGCCTTCGGCTCGCTTCAGTGCTGGTAGTCGTCGCTAGGTGGTCTATGGATCTGGATGTAATTTTTATTATTTCTGGTATTCGTTGTACTGCCATGATTGAAGATGAATAGATCGGAAATTTTCTTGAAAAAAAATAGTATCGCGCAACTTCAAATACCCAATTGGAAAAAAAAATTACAGACAAGGATTCAAACTTGGGACCTGCTGCTTCCGAGCTCATACAACCAACCACCCTTGCTAATAAGACACTGCAGGGTCGAGATGTGAAACATTTAATTTCGGAGCATTTTCTTGGAAATGGTCAACAAGTTTGAGATCCAAGTGTTCTTAAAAGCAAAAAGAAACACAAAGAAAATTGGAAAACACGGACCATTTTTTAAATCCCTGAACATTTTTTGAAGTGTGAACACTTTAAAAAAAGCAAACAAAATTTTGAAAATATGAATAGTTTTCAAACCTAAACAAATAAGTGCGAAGAATTTTCCAAGACGAGAATTTTTTGAAACATAAACATTTCTTTGTAAAAATGTGAACAAATTCTGAAACCTGAATAACATTTTAATGTGCGAACACTTTCTAACTTTTTAAAAATGGGAACAATTTTTCACAAAATTGTTCGCACTTTCATATTTTGTTCAGCTTTTGAAATTATTCCTTTTATAAAAGTGTTCGCACTTTAACAATCGTAGGGGGTTTCAAAAATGGTTCACGTTTTCAAAATTTGTTTGTGTATTCCACATAATTCCAAAACATGTTCGGATTTCAAAATTGTTGACAAATTGTCAAGAAAATGTATCTAAAAATTTCAGAAATGTTTTCAAACCTCAACGCTACTGTTTGTTGTTAAATATTTTCGCGCTTCTCTTTTATCAACAACAGCTACGAGGTAGAGTGGCTATCCTGGTCAGCAACGTTAGGTTGAAAGTACGATTCCTGACAACGTCTCAATTGTTTTGGTATTTTTAAGCTTACCTGGTGGGCTGGCCCAGTGCCGTCCAGCGGCCGATTTTAAGTTCGCCTAGTGGGCCTGCCCAGTACAGTCCGCCTGCAGTCAGAAATCCCGGGTTTCAGCTGCATGTCAACGATCCTTGTTTGGGAATGCACCCAAGGTTTAAAATAGAACGGAATCATATAGTTTGGTGTGCTGATTTCAGAGATTCAATGTTTAGGTTTTGATTTAGCTTTTGTCTACAAGTTCAAGATTTATTTTAGACTTTTTCCTTCAGAGCCCATCCTCCCGGTCCCCCGGTAGCCTTTTTCTTGAGAAAGTCGAAAAGTTTATTTTAAACCTCATTTTTTTTGCCAGAAATTTATCTTTTTTCGGTAGGATAGAAATTAGTGTGTTATTTAATGAGTTTTCTTATATAGATATAAACAAGACATCTATCTGTATACGTTAAAAAATTTAAGGAAGTTTTAAATATCCTTTTCATATATTTTAAGAAATCAGGCTCTCTATAGCCCAGGTTCCAAATTGCCTTACTCGATCTAATTTTCTTTTTAAATAAAAGTGCATCACGGGTTTCTTTG